TCGTTAAAACGATCCTTTAAAAGTGTGTAATCTCTCTGTGCCTCAGATAAAAGCTCTTTTCTGTTCAAATCCAACTGAATCTCATCATACTGCCTATATGATGATGTCATAACGGAAGAGACAGTCAGGCTCTTCCATGTTCCGTGACATCATCGCATCATTCCATTCCTCCTTTTTCCTCTGTTTCTCTGAGCTTACGCTCACTTACGTAACCATTGATCCACAGATGGTACAGCTGACCTGCTGCCTGCCTGTTAATGTGTTTGTGTGTGACCTTCTGACACTCGACAGCTGGAAAATGGTTTATCTGAATGACTCTACATGTGTGACATGTAAAGTATGAAATATGGCAAATGATCACTGTTAAACAGACCAGACTCAGACCAAAAATAGACCCTTTAAGACCTAGAAGAGTGCCAAAGACTAGATAAGACTAGGCCCCTTAAGACCCCTTGAGGCCTGGATCCAGACCAATATCTAACCTCAAGACCACGTTGAACCATTTTTTTTTTAAATGAATGAATTAAAATGTATTATATAATTTAAAATGTATAATTGAATTTAATTGATAACTTTAATATATTTTATAATTAAAGTATAATATAATTAAACCTATTTTATAAATATAATTAAAATATATTTTATAAATACAAATTGTAATTTTAATAAATTATTAAAAAATAAAAGTATTTAAATGTACAATTTTGTACATTTCTAGTTTAAAAATAATAATTTTGCACATTTGATATTTATAAAAAAAATTTATTATATGCATTATTATGCATTTTTACAGAAACTGTTCATTAGTTTCATTTTTTGTTTTATAAATAAGTTTATTACATTATTTGAAACTGGTTTGATCAGGTCGTATTGAAGGGTTTTCGCCTCTTTTTTTTTTGAATTTTTTATTTTTTTTTAAATAGCCAACAGGCATGAATCATGATTTACTACTTGCTATTGCATTAAAAAAAGGTCACTTTAGTTAACATATGTGACCCTGGACCACAAAACCAGTCATAAGTAGCACAGGTATATTTGTAGCAATAGCCAAAAATACATTGTATGTGTCAAAATGATTGATTTTTCTTTTATGCCAAAAATCAGTAGGCTATTAAGTAAAGATCATGTTCCATGAAGATATTTTGTAAATTTCCTACTGTAAATATATTAAAACTTCATTTTTGATTAGTGATATGCATTGCTAAGAACTTCATTTGGACAACTTTAAAGGCGATTTTCTCAATATTTAGATTTTTTTTTTTTGCACCCTCAGATTCCAGATTTTCATAGCTGTATCTCGGCCAAATATCGTCCTCTCCTAACAATCCATACATCAATAGAAAGCATATTTATTCAGCTTTCAGATGATGTATAAATCTAAAAATATTTAAATATTTATGACTGGTTTTGTGGTCCAGGGTCACATTTAGTTGTACACTAGCATATAGATGACCTCAAAAATAATAGCTATTGACAATAAGTCAATTAATGAATTTGTTCTTTTGAATGATCATCCTGTCAGTAAAAGCGAACATGGGATTTTGCTTCACATTTTCTTCAATGCCAGCTCTGTCCATTTTGCTTAATTTTGACCAGCATGAAATATTTGTCAGGCGTCACGATTCGATTACGCAGACACATGTGTTTGATAAATACATCTGGCAGGCTGCTCAGAATGATTGTGGGATCAGGATTCAGTGTGTGGTCGGACTCAGACAGGAAGTGTGACTGAGAGAGAAAACATGGAAGACAGTGACATCATCATCATCCTTTGGAGTGTTTTGACGGTTTCAAACTGTTATTGAATGGTGATATTATTGAACGTTCGAGATTTTGTTCTAAACCATTAAGTATTAAACTTCCACTGCTAAAAGAGGTTTCCAACCATGTTTTAATTTGTACAGATCTGTTGGGAAGTATCTTATTTGACAAAAAAAATTGAAATTTGTTGTAAATGAATTATTACATTTTAAAGTATTGATTAAATTGATCATTTATATTATTAGACATCTTTTTTGATAATAAATTTGTAAGAAATCATAAAACGGAATCTAGAGAATTTATAAAAAAGAGAACTCCTAGAGCACAGAATTTAGGAAAAAATAAAATGGATTTTATGGGGCCCTAAATTAAAAGGTAGCTTACTCTGTAGAGTTTAATTGTGAACAAACAAGTTATGTTTGCATTCATTGTCAAGGTCTAACAAACATCTGGAAAGCATTTGCTTCCCCATGACTTATTATCATGATAAATATCGATATTGTAACTGTATTTTTGGCTTTATCGCCCAGCACCAAATATAATTTGTGTATTTTAAAAATGTATCTTATATATTATAATTGAAACATGCATATAGATTATATATACCTTTATACTCCACATTGAGTTTGTTGATTCTGGTATGCCAACCTAGGTACATTTTCAATTTTTAAACACCTTTTTTACATTTTAATTAATAATGATAATGTAATAATTTATAATAATTTAAACTAATTAACATTTTTAACTTTTATTATAATTTGTAATTATTTTTTTCTTTTTTTTTCTTTCCATGTTATTTGTGGCGCTATATATTATTTTGACATTTTTTGGAATATTTAAGCAACATTACAGAAGTAATATTGCTTGAATTGGTGCATAAATGATGAGCCAATTTTAATAGTTGATGTGCTGAGTAATTAATTATTCATTAGGCCACATGTTTGTACTGTATTTGTTCCCTGGCCTTGTTTTAAATGAGAGAAAATCTGTTTGAATAGCTCAAATGCATGTTTGTTTTAACCACAAGATGATGTTTGAGCTCATCTGCTCAATGACTGATCCACACACATTTAATTTCAGTGATGCATCACTGGGCCGTAATGGAAAACCATTAGAGCTGTACAAACCCTTAGCTGCTGTCTGTCTACATACCAGTCACAAGACCTTCCATTAACCCCTTTATTTACATGAAAATACACACGCTAACTTAGCGCACACACTACCAAACCAGACCAGAAAGACCGGAGATGTTAATTTCATGTAGTGAGGCACATAAACAGAACTGAATTAAGGCCTAGTGGCTGTGCATCGAGTTTGTCTTTAGGTTACAGTTTACATTGTCCAATTCATTAGGCCACATGTTTGTACTGTATTTGTTCCCTGGCCTTGTTTTAAATGAGAGAAAATCTGTTTGAATAGCTCAAATGCATGTTTGTTTTAACCACAAGATGATGTTTGCGCTCATCTGCTCAATGACTGATCCACACACATTCAATTTAATTTCAGTGATGCATCACTGGGCCGTAATGGAAAACCATTAGAGCTGTACAAACCCTTAGCTGCTGTCTGTCTACATACCAGTCACAAGACCTTCCATTAACCCCTTTATTTACATGAAAATACACACGCTAACTCAGCGCACACACTACCAAACCAGACCAGAAAGACCGGAGATGTTAATTTCATGTAGTGAGGCACATAAACAGAACTGAATTAAGGCCTAGTGGCTGTGCATCGAGTTTGTCTTTAGGTTACAGTTTACATTGTCCTGTCCTGCCGAGTTTTTTTTTTTTTCGCAGTCCTGTTAAACTGGCAAATCATTTTGCTGTCAGATGGCAACACTGAAATGCATTGGCTCCAGCACACGAAGTACGGCTGGCGGCACTGGACATAATGTGCTCTTTCTCATTGGAAAAATTCCTGGCATTGTTTTCAAATCTGCGTCAAACTCTTGCCATTTCTGTTTGTCATATTAAATGTCTGACTCATGCTGAAGGTCACGTCTTCCTTTTATAGAAATTGTGGAATGCAATAATTGCTTAATTGAACTGACAATAAACTAACGTCTGAAAGGACAGAAAGTGGATGCAGGAATGTCGCGTGGTGAAGCTGAAGTCGGCTGTTTGGGCTGGAGCAGCGGTGGAGGTGAAAGTCCTCAGATAAGCGGAGTTTCCTGAGTGGGGCTGGACTCTGATAAAGCCACCCATCCTGAGGAGAGAGAGATGGAGGAAGGGAGAGACATTCTCATTGGTGTGGTATTTGGGAAATGCTTTCACAACATCCAAAGTATTGCAACATCATCCAGTCAAGGAGAGAAATCAAGGCTCTGTAGGGGAAAGAAAGAGCAGGTGAAAGAGAGACTTAAGAGAAAGATAAAGATGTCTAATATTCAGGATTTATGGTTCCAAAGGTATCATCACTGGAGAAAATATGTTGAACTCTGATCGCTCATGTATATGTATGATAATATATGTATGCGATGAAGTAAGGTCGTATTTTACACATTTTTCTACAATTTTATTATTGTTATTTTTTTTAAATCCCTCAAATCTGTCTCTTGCACCAAAAACAGTAGGGATGCAAACCTGGGGATGGTAAGATTGTTTTTTTATTTATTTATTATTATTTAGAATTTTTTAAGTCACTTAAGCTTATCAGGCTGAATTTATGTGATAAAAAAATAAATAAAATAAATTAATAAAGAAATATGTATTATATATATATATATATATATATATATATAAATAAATAATTTGGTTGATCATAATTTACAATAATAATTTATTCATTTATTATTATTATTTTTATTATTATTATTATGTATTATTAAATAATTTAATCCTGTGAGGCAAAGCTGAAATTTTCAGCAGCTAATGCTCTAATACTCTAGTCTTTAGTGTCACATGGTCCTTCAGAAATCATTTGCTGATTTGATGATCAAGAAATATTTTTTTTATTGTCAGGTGAAAACAGTGATACATTTTTTTTCAGTATTCTTTGATAAATAGAAAGTTTGAAAGAACAGCATTGATTTGAAATAGAACTCTTTTGTAATATTATAAATGTCTTTACTGTCACTTTGGATCAGTTTAATGCATCCTTGCATTCTGAATATGATTAATTTCTTTAAAAAAAATTAATGAAAGAAATCTTACTAACCCCCAAATTTTGAATGGTAAATTGTTCTTCTGCTGATGTGCCAATTGTGCTTTTTTCTGTTATATTTCCCCTTTAAATAATAACATAGCCTACTAGTCACTGTTAAAGTTTAAATTTCCTGGCCTTTCCCATAATTCTCATCTTTGCTATATGACAAAAAAATATAACTTCACCTGCAGGATTTTCCTTTCCTGACTCCTTGCTGCACAGGGTTTAATAATAGCACCAAGTCCACACAGAGCCAGAGAACCAGGCCAATGCAGTCCAAAGAGTCAGCTCTGCCCTCTTGTGGCAGGTGCATGTTATAACAAGTGTCTACAAGTGAGGGCATCAACCTGCAGGGGTCCTCACGAAACAAGAAGAGAGAGAACACAGAACTGGAACAAGTTAAAAAAAACTCTTTAAACATCCAGTAGAGCTAAACTGAGCATGCTCAGTGCCGCTGTGCTTTTCAGATGTGTGTGCATGCAGGCAGAGGGAGACAGAGGGGTGTGTGATGGTTTGCTACTGAGCGGGAGTGGGAACGAGTCAGTGGGGACCAGAAACACGGGCTGAGCTCCAGTGGCATGGCAGGAAGAATGGAAGAGGGACAGTGAAGTGGATCCAGGCACCACCAGCCCATATAGGGATGCTGCTAACACTACTGTTCTATCTGCGAGTGAAAGGTACCGTTGTACACCATACACAGAGACAGAGAGAGAAAAAAAGGATGAAAATATCAAATGGACGAAGAAATAAGACAGAATGGCTAAAGAGATGGGAAATAATTGCACTGTTTTGTTGTATATAATGGATTTTGTTCCTTAAAGGGATAGTTCACAGAAAAATTACAGTTCTACCTCATGTCGTTTCTGTGTGAAACACAAAAGGAGAGGTTTAGAATGTCCAAGCTTCTCTTTTTTTCAATGATATGATTGGTGACAATTACTGTTAATGGCCATTCACCATATTGTGTTGAAAATCTTTCAGGATTGCAATGGGGGTGAGTAAACCAAAAGAAACATCATTTTGGGTAAACTATCCCTTTATTGGTACAGTAATGGTTGTGTATATTGGATGAAAGGGTTCTTTCACTCTTATCTTGCCCTCTCGGTCCTCTTTTCGTGTTTCTCTCTCTCTCTCTCATTTGGTCCTTTATTTAACTGTCCTCTTTGGAGAGAGTTTTCAGTTAGCTCATGGTCTGCTTTCACTGACGTAACAGACCTTTAACAGTGACACTTTCTACATGACTGCAATATCAGTTTTTGTAATTTCAGGTCTTGGATCTTTCACTCAGGTTGACAGGATCTATTTAATGCATCAAACATTTAGCATTTCTTCTCACTATGAGAGTTCAAAAGGGTTTCTGGTTTAGTTTACCTTTATTTATCACCAAATTCTATGTAATCTGAAAGCTGTATTGATATGTAGTGACTTATTGACATGTAGTATTGTAATGTGTCCTCCTTTGCACCATTTGAGAGTGAGTTCCTTTGCGTTAAATGTCTATTTATGGATTTGGTGTCTATTTTTAGCACATAGCTCAATAATAGTTCCTCAGGGCTCTGTGTGCTGTCCGTTTTTTTTAAAGCAAAATGACGCTGACAGATTGTTAGTGTGTGCTGGAAGCTTAGCGCATTGTGTTTAGAAAAGATTGCTACAGGTTGTGCACTGTAGTGGTTACAGCTCAAGGTTAGTAATTAGAAAACCATAAGCCATCACCATTATACTCTTGAATGCAGCGCTTAACCACAGTTTGCTTGCCCATGCAAACAGTGACGCCACAATGCTAGGGGTGTCACACATAGTTTTGATGTGCGGACGGTTGCTAAGGTCTTCAAATGTCACTGTTTTTAGTGTTTTTATTGGCTATGTACAAAGGTAAAAAAATGATCTGAAAAGTTGGTGTTCAGTCTGTCAATGCACACAATGCACACGAGGCTTCTGCCTGTTCATAAAAGCTGGTGTTTTATGTGTCTGTCTGCAGTTTTGTTCTATATACCATGTAAAAGCAAAAAACAAAGCTCTTCAAATATAATGATTAACCTGTTTCCCACCCAAAATGGAAATTTTTTTCCAAACCTTTTTTCTTTTCACAAAAGAAGATATTTTGAAGAATGTTGGTAAACAGGTGCTGGTAGCCATTGACTTCCATATTATTTTTCCCTACTATGGAAGTCAGTGGCTAACCAGTTTGGTTACCAACATTTTTCAAAATACCTTATTTTGTGAAAGAAACTCATACAGGTGGAACAATGTGAGAGTGAGAAAATAATGACAATCTATCCCTTAATATTTTTGAGGAACCCGTGCTAGCTTTTTTTTCAGGATCATTTGAAAAGAAAGTTTAATAGAACAGCGTTTATTTGAAATATAATTGTGTAAAATTCAGTCAGTAACTTGATTTGAGGTGTTATTTACATTTGCAGCAGAGGAAAATTCACGCACTACAACATACTTAAGGTCAAGTTCAATTTCATAATGTTTTTTGAAGACGACTTTGTGTGAAAGCTTTGGCAAAACAGAAATATTCTAGGTTGAGGAATTGGTTCCAGATTTGCACGTTTTATTTTTTTCTGTGTTTACCATTTCAAAGACTATATTGTTTGTTCTCTCAAGTGAAGCTTTTTTGTTTGCTTGATTACCTAAAACTGCTTTATTCTGTGAACCTCACATTTATACTCGTTATGTAATACTAGACTTTTACTAATGCAGCGCACATGGCCGCAGACACATTTCTGGTCTCAGGGTCATCTCAACAGTGACGACACAAGAGACTCACTTTTGGGGAACAGTGACATTATAAACCTTTGAAGCTCTGAACTGGGTATTTTTAAAGTTTTAAAAACATCCAGAAGAGCCAAAAGCTCATTATTGATGAAGAATATGTGTTCAGTTCATGCATAAGGGAATAAGAAAGAGATTGGCAGACCAGTGAAGGAGAGGCTCAAAATGAGGCGACTAACATCAAAGAGCTGTCCGCAAGCTCTGCCGTTTCATCCCGGATAACTCTGATGAGCTTGAAGCAAAGGCTGCCACTCTGATGTCAAATTTTTTAGGCTTTTCTATCAGCAAAAATTTCAGGAGTCACAAAAAGTGTCTCCTAAGAGAGATTTTCCCCCATAAGGTGAAATATAAGCTAGGCAGTAGCTGAAGTCTGTTTAGCCTACATATCTTGGACTGGTTTGACACAATATAACCGTCTACGTAACTCCTACAGCATTTCATAAAGCATTTCAAAGAAGTTTCAGGGAAAGAAAAGGATGAAAGATGAAATTTCAGAGAAAGACAAGGGAGACAGATGAAAGGTGATATGATAGATATAACTATGTGTGTGTCTTTGTGTTATACAGTGTGTATGTGTTTGCTTGGGGCTTTGCAGACACATTGTGACCTTAAATAGCTCAGAAACTGATTCATTCTCGACTGTGGAGTTGGTTTGCACTGTATGATTCAGTAGAAGTATCAACCTGAGACTAAAAGACCCATAAAATTGCTTGACAGACACAGTTTTCTTTGACATTTCCTGTTGAAACGGGATGATTATTTAATTAGATTTTATTTTACTTATTTTACACTAGCATATATATGGCATGGCCTCAGCTAAAACTGTACACATAAAGTTCTGGTTTATTCATCTCATAATTCATTTTTTCCCCCTTTCTTTTTCTTTATCATCATCTTTGACATGGTATTGCATTTCTGACTTTTTGTGAAATCCTTTGGGACACAGGTAATAATAACTGATTTAAGTGGGATTTTACTAGTCAGCATTTTCCCAGTTGCATTCTGAATAGTTTAAGTGTTTCATAGTTTATCTCATGTATTTTTTTGTATTTATGGTATAATGCGTTGGTTGCGCACAGAGTCAAATATGCTGTATTATGTTTATGCAAATATGTTGTGTAGGTGCCAGTTGTCACAATGCTCTTTAAGGCTTGACTCACTGATTGTCTACAGTGAAGCAGTGTGTGTGTGTGTGTGTGTGTGTGTGTGTGTGTGTTTGGCTTGGGTCCAGCTAAACCCACACACTCTGTGTGAAATGTACAGATATACTCCCGTCCCACGCGAGAGCAGATCAGAGGGGTTACATCACAGCGAAATGTGGCAGCAGTCAAGGAGGAAGCGTATGAGTGAAAATGTGTTGTGATCTGATTGCTGTGACATTGTGGGAGACTTCAAAACCGGTAAAACAATACGATTGCATACTTCGAGCACTCTACAGGAATTAGAGATGTATATGTGTGTGTTTGGGGTGAATGGGAAGTCTTGTGCCGCACACTTGCTCCCAAAGTAATCAAATTTCGTCTAATCTTCTGGATTATGACACGGCTGATAAATTAACTTCCTTTTAATTTAAGTACAAACTTCAAAGCAGCCTATTCACAGTAATGTTATTTGCCTTGCAGCGGTTTATGAAACTCCTCCCTGTCAATTAACACAATACGTTAATATCTGCTGCTGAAATTAGCGGTGGGCTACCGCTAACACGCTCTTTGTCATTTTCTTAGCTGCTATTGTCCCCATTATTTGCAAAAATATAATTTTTTACACTTTTATAGCATTGCTTTTCTTTGGAATCCCACTAATAATGTAAGTCAGTGTTTCTTGCACCATATTCAGTCTTTTTGACAAGCTTTAAAAGTACAGTAGCAAAATCTGTTAGTTCTCAGATTTGTGTAAATGACCTCTGCCTTGATTGGATAAACTGTTTGCATGGGAAATGAGTAACAACTCTTATTTACTTATCTCACAACAGCCTCTTAGCAAGTTCACAAAGCAGTCTGGCATGAAATGTGCCATACAACTGTATTTGTCTTCCAAAGAAAGAGGAAAATCCTGTTTTCCACGATATGGCCCCTTTAGATTGTTTTACTTGAGGGCACTATAAGTCAAGTAAAGGTCACCTTAAGTCCTGATCTTCTCAGGAAGCTCTTAAGTCGTGGGTGTAACTGTTGCCAGATTTGGTTAATGACTGATTCACATCTCTGCTAGAGATTTGAAATTTGTTTCTGAATTTATTTGTAGGTTTGGCAGGTTTATGCAGAGATATCACTGCAATCATTTCATTTATCCATTCACCCACTCAAATGTTTATTTATAATATTAATATTGAATTGAACTGAATTAATTATTTTTTAAAAACTCATTGACAAGTAGTTTTTTTGTTTTGAACATAAATCACATAAATAATTTATTTAGGTTTATACTCAAAACAAGAAACAATTTTCCAGGTAAGAAAACTAAACTAAACTAAAGATATGACTTTCTTTCTTCTGCTCGACACAAAAGAAGACATTTTGAAGAATATTGATAACAAAACAAAAAGTTTTTTTCTAATTTCTTCCATTGTTTTTTGTCTATACAGTAGAAGTCAATGGGAACCAAAACTGCTTAGGTGCCAGCAATCTTTTTAATATCTTTTTTTTATGAACCACAGAAGAAAGAAAGTCATGCAGTTTTTGAACAAGAGAGTGAGTAAATGATGGCAGAATTTTCATTTTTGGTTGAACTATCCCTTTAGTTTCCATTTCCATTTTCCATTACTATTTATGCATTTGGCAGACTCTTTTATCCAAAACGATTTACCTTGCATTTAAGGTACACATTTAGGTTTTATTAGTTCTTCTTTTCAGTAAATTTTATAGTTAACACATAATTCATATTTAACTGTTTTGTTTTAAGG